TCCCAATTTGGGGCACATGCCTTGTGGGCCTGTAGTGGATCCTGACCATCTTGCCAGTTGTCGAGACGTATGTCACATCTACGACACTCTACCTTGTCGGCTATTCCTGAACAGTTAGAAATACAAGTGGTATAATTAAAAACTTCAGTCCCAAACAATTCAAACTGTTGTGTCCATCTAAAATATGAAAAACGAATTTCTCTTCTCCTTCGACTTCATTTTATTTGTTATACATTAAATAGGTTTACATGCGATTGCTCACACAGTGCTACGTTAGTTAAAGACGACACATAATAAATGTAGTATCAGTGAGTGGTCAGCTGCAACTGCGAATAAGACCATTTATGTTTGCAATGAAAAAACATAACTTCTTCCTAACCTATACATCTTTTGTATAAAATAACTGGTGGCGTTTCTGCGAGCTTAAGTTTAACAAGTAATAACTGGGTATACATTGTTTCCTAGAAATGTCTAGTGTGGAATTACCAACTACATTATTGCAATACAATAGCAATATTATGATATCTTCCTTTTTCGTTAAGTAGATAGTGAATACGGGGTCCAAAGGGTTGGAAGGTAAAATATTCGATACTTGATACATTAAAGAGTTTTGAAGACAGCATCATCCCAATTCTGGAGAAATTGATCCTTTGAGGCTTGTATTAGAAAATGTTTTAAAATATTCAAATAGAACAGGTTGTGTACACGATCGCGAGCAGTCTCAAATAACCAACTTTATTTGTTGCGACAATCATGTACCTGATATGTCCGTTTGGTTTTTTATATTATGACAACGATTTTTGTGACACAGCATTTTATTTAACAAACGCTATATATTAGAAACTGTTATTATGACTAGAATGTGGACATAATTTTGACGTTTTGTTATTTCAAGATCCATACAGGTACAGAGCAGGATCCTAGAACTGGGCCATGTCTGTTGTTTTGTGCTTGGTATACTTTGAAGAGATGATATAACATATTAAGTAACAATAATTTGAATTGTTGAAACTGGGAAAATATTTTGTTTCTCTTAAGGCTCAAACAAATTGTCTTGACACATATGTCTGGAATAGGACATTTTAAAAACGTATAATATACACAGGTGCAGTATTGTACTGTAATTGCATAGTTACATCAGTAAAATTTGTTTACAACAGTTCAAAATACTGGCCATTGCATAAAGATTATCAATTATTAAATACCTTAAATAAATAACATTTATTTATTGTTAAGACAGAACGTAAATGTCCGTTATTGATCGAGTATAAGTCTGAGGTGTTGCAGTCCCCACTTCTAACACATTGATTCCACCTTCATTATGATGACACGTACACAAATTCCTTACATGGTCAAACAAACAATCCCCGAACATTTTCAAGTACCATGTTCCTATGGCATGTTATTAAACTTTGATTTGCTAAATCTTCAGCAAGCGGAAGGTCAGGGTTCGTTCCCGGCCGCGTCATACCAAAAGACGTTAAAAAATGGTACTTGTTGTTACCCTGTCTGGCGCTCGGCTTTAAGGGACTAAAACAAGGACTGGTCGGCTCGGAGTCAGTATACTGTGTATGAGTGGGCTATTCATTTAAACGCCGGCATGGTATCTCAGTGGGCTATCATTATAAAACCGGCATTAGTCCAGAATGTTAGGAAACGAACGCGCAGCGTTTGAATCTAAAGGTAACATTGCTCTACGTTGAAAACACAGTATGTTTATCTCCATTCTGCCATGGCTATATAAAAAGCGAACTCCTTGGTGTTGGCAAATATATTGAGTGAAACGGCATGGGTTGAATCCAGTGTTCTGAGTGTGTTGTCGATCTGAATTACGGAATCACCGACAACTGTCTTAAACAAAATATGGCGCTGTATGTGATCACGCAAATTGTTTACACCGTAATACTTCACTCGAACATATGATTGGCATCGAACGCATATAAGCACGGCAACTTTGTTAGCTTACATGAGGTAAACACCCCCTAAAGAAAACAAAGCAAGCCTTGCAAAGCTTTCGTTCTACACAGCACGTCACCATTATGCCGTCACAGTCGTATGTATGTATGTATGTATGTATGTATGTATGTATAACAGTGTTTTTTCTCTGTGATTTAACAACCTCTTATTGACCAATCGGAATCGAGTAATTTTCGAGTTCATGATAGAATGCTCCTTTGCCAAACATGATAAGAAATATCGATGATATTGTTTGTATAATTCGATTCTTAATTATGTTTTTATTATTTTATTGAAACATCTTCTGCAACAATGTTCGGCGACACATCCTAAGATTCGAATAGATTTAGATATTTAGATAGAATTATTAGTTCAAATCAGAGTAACGTTGGCATCATTAATGTCATTTCGTATCAAAATATATATTTACTGGTCAAAGATAGATTTGCAACATAAAACAAAATCGTGTACTTGAGAATGAATTATTTCTTGTTAACATTGAATACCATAATAGAAGTCGGTGCACTGAAATTTCATGCAAAAAACTAATTATATTAACTTTACATCAAAGAGAGTTAGTGCGCATAAATTTACACTTCCCAGGTGCACAGAAGTAATATGTGTGTCATTTCGTTTAGTCAAACATGATCAATATACGTCAGAATATAAACTTGTATATACTCAGTAGCTTGTAATCTCGTAAAACTGTATTCATGAAATATTTGTAATTGTGAAAAAAACCCACTGTAATGCCATTTCATCTTTTTGGGAATGCAATTTGATGGTACAATTCTACACAATACATCGCCGTAATTGTTCATTATTTGTTCCTACCTGTATACATGAACACATACTTGCAACTTGATATATGGCCTTTAATTTTACAGTGAGTCGGGTGTTCTTCACCGTGTGGCCTTTATATTGTTTCCTTTTTGTTTGTGACAGAGATGCGAATATCCATACAGGAATTCTGGTTTTCATTCAATACTCGAGTTAACACGATGGTATGTTAGATACCAGTATTTGAAACTGAATACAAAACAATGTCGTTTTGGAATTAAATTTGCGTTTCTACATTGTAATATTTCTCAATGATCGGTCATCAGTGTTCTTATGAAAGATGATTTGACTCAACATCTTCTTACACGTTACTTGAATCAACTGTAAATTGTTTTTATTCATGGTTGAACGTGCTGTTAATATGTCATAGTATCTGGGTCGGTGAGCGGGTGTCAGCTACATAGAAATCTGATAACTGTCACGTGACACATTCAGAACTGAAATAGAAAGGGGAAAGCCAAAGTGTGCTATTTATAGGTAGGTGTTTCCCCACTTCCTTTAAGATTCCGGTACACCTATACCCCTGAGCCTGAAAGTGCTGTCTCATCGATCGATATTTGTTGTTGTAAATATACCTTATTTTTATATGCATGAAATTTAGAATTACTTACGAATGCGAAAATGTCGTACAAAGAATTAACATTCCCTCATTCCAATTCATCTTATTGTAGGAACATTGGGGTATGTAAGAATTGGAAAGACAAAAATAAAACTATTCAAACGTCTAGTAACAATCTGAAATGCGCTAAAAATATGTGCCTTCGACACGTTCTGCTTGGTCGGTTCGACAGAAGAAAGCACAAAGATCACCTGAGGTATGCTAGCCAATAAGATCACAGTGTATTTGTCCACGTGATCATTGTACCGTACAAGCCCAATGGAATGTTGTAGTGCGGCCAGATCTAAGCCTCCCCTCGATGAGTGTTGCGAGGACACATTTGTGACACAGTCTGACGCCTTTGTACGACAAAATAGTTATCCTTGTGAATTTGATGATGAATGTTTGAACAAACGAAATGTAAAAACAGATTTTGTTTGAGTCGAGGAATAAAACACAACGGGAAGGTAAATACAAGAGACAACCATTTCAATAATCATATGAAATATCTGTTAAAAGCAGGCTACATCATAAGCATGTGTTCATGAATCACTATCAAATAGTGATAATACCTATAACGTTACATTTCTCACAGTTCAATCTAGGATCCCAAATATTAAGGTACAAGCTACGAATGTAGACAATTTCCAATATTCTCTCATTACATAGGACAGACATACAACACATCTCGAAGTCCAAACTGTATGCATGTGTTCAAGGTTTTCTTTATTTCGAAACATAGGTTGTGTCCTTTGTAAACTGTGTATATATAAGCCGTGAAGAAGATCATTTACACACAGTTATACTGCTGACCAATTTCACCAATAATCATGTTTGTGGTTTCTGACATAGACACACATTTACTCTTAAATTGTGGAGAAAAGAATGTTTGTATGTTTGTTTTTAAAGATTACACCCATCAAGGAATTGATATTGTAACTGCTTCATAACGGTGTTTATTGATGTGTTGTTTATTTCACAAATTAAATTATTTGGAACCTCACACATTCTATAAAGAAAACCGCTCATATTATTTGTTTTTGAAGTCAAGTTAAACAACTGAGCGAATACTCCGTTGTTTATTTGTCGGAATATATAGACACTTTTTTGCATATCTTTAGTTTATGAATGTTCTACTCCTATACACGTCATTTGTTTATAGTACTATTATTATTTAGGGGTGGTGGCAAACTCCTAACTGTCATATATTATTTCACATTACTGTTGCTGATGCAGAACTATGTAGATATGACGTGTATGATACAACAATAACATTAATAAAGTCATTTTGTGTTTGAGAAGAAAGGTATTATAAACTATACTAAAGATATATTTCTTATTGTGCAACAGTGTTACACTTTTGATATTTAAGTGTCAGTCATTTGACATATTAAGTAACCCTTGACAACATGACCACAGTTTCCCAGCAACATCTCTGTGAACAGATCAGATTACATATAAAGTAACAAGCTTTTGAATTGTTTTCTCTGGAAAATGTTGCTGTTGCATTCGTTAAGGCAAATGGTTGCCAAAACAAGTATATTTTTTCTTTTAATTTAAAAAGACAAAACTAAAAAGATGGACACACACAAACAATCACCACGCTTTTATTTCATAAATAATACAAAAATTGCATAGCCATTTACAAATCATTTCCAGTTGATTTCACCTGTGTATCTGACATGATATACTCCCAAGAACAAGGGACAGCCGTACAGAGGTCAGAAATAATCTACACTAACAAGTGCAAACAATATATATTAAGTAATTAATGCAACACATTTATATAGTTGAGATGCATATCTAGTACATGAGTACATGATTGTATTGAAAACAAACAAAACTAATAACTAACGCGCAACTAGCAACGGTCATAGTACAGAAGCCGCTTATCTTGGAGCATGGTCTATCCATTGTCGGTTTTTTTTTTTATCACGATAATATATCAACAGAAACATTCGAGTTTCACAGTGTGAATTTAGCATTGGCTGTTCAATGTAACAGCTGCAAAGATTGAAATGAACACTATAAACACATATTCAAAAATTTTTGTTACTTGAAACACGCATTTCGAATACATTCATATTATTCTTTATGTCGTCTTAAGACTGTCGGATAATACATTTGTTAGGCCGAGCGCGCCTCTGCACACGGCTTCTAGGAAAGTTCTTGACCTGAAGCGCACAGACTGACTCTAGGTGTGGCGCGCTATTGTCAGTGTCGTGTGCAATCTACTTCCAGAATAGCAGTGACAATCTGGGGTTTTCACATTATGTAGCAACGAAAATATCGGCCAGTAAAATCCAGTTACGTATTGAACCACCATAATACCACCCTATCGCAATAGCCAGGGGACTTAGGCAAGTTATAAAAGCGCATTTTACCGCGGATACCTTATTATTAACTTGTGCGGATGATGGGTTAATCAGCTAATTTTGGTGAGTAATCATCATCAACGGTTATCACATGTTTACACGTATTCAGATAAAAAATAAACATCATCTTAAAATCCATTCTGACATAACCTGTGTGGAACGTCCTGCAACCTGAAGGACTGGTGCAAACGAGCCTATTGGATCTGTTTTCTTCTTGTGATCTAATCCTTTCTTTAGTTTTTTGTTGGCAGGATTGATATAGTCTGAATTTAAAATCGTAAAAAGGATTTTCACCATTTCCCTAGCCCGGTTATAAAGACAACAAAGTTTATATTGGACACATTAACTTAACAACAGTCATCATTGGGTAAAGGAGTTACAGATGCCATGTATAATGTATTTGTTGGATGTATGCTGCGTTCATTTTGCAATACTTGTGAAACAGAGTAGACATTTTCTAGTTTTTGCTACAGATAAGATCTTGACAAAGAAAATCTAAACCTTACAAATGAAGTTCTAGTTTACCGGTTCAAATATCGTAAGTATGTCTGTGGTTTTAGGCAAGTTTTATATACGCAAAATCTGACACGTGATTTCATCTCGAGCTCGGAAATCAAATTCGCATCAGTTAAAATGTCACTATGCTGTGGACTTCAAACTTCCCGACACTTTTCACAAGACACGTACAACATACAATCTGAAGAACTGCATTCTGGATCTGGAAAATACAATTTATATCAGCAATGTCATCTCAATATATATATAAACCAAAATAAGCCAAGAATGAACAAGTACTTCACACGAAGATCTAGGGCAAACGTTACAGACAAATTCCTAATCTATCCTCAAAACAAAAACTTCTTACTAATTCATTTAAGCACATAGGGATTAATTGATATATCATTTTATCACGGTCATATATATCTTGAACAATAGTTACATACCACGGATTCCAATTGCTACCTCTGCCCCTGGAGGTATGACCATTCTGTATTCGGAGCATGGTTGTGGAGTAGTCACATTTCCTCCAGAACAAGGCTGGGAAAGTTGTACGTTGTCCTCAGTGCAGGGAAGAGGAGAAGTCTTGCTGACGTCTGAGCAAGGGACAGTGTCACCTGTTCCTTGGTTCATCACAGTCGCACGAGTACCTGTATCACTTCCCGGGTATGCTTCCCGTAAACTCTCCAGTCCTGGAATGTTTGTTCTGCCCAAAGCTTCTATTTCTTTGTTCATTCCATCAACATCTAACTGCTGTACAAATGGGCAGCTAGACGACCACTGTGCGTGGGCGGAGGAAGGGTAGTCGTCCAAGCCCCAGTCTCTCAGGGTTACACCACAGTGGAAGCATCGAGCTCTGTCTCCCGATCCAGTGTAGAAGAAACCAGACCTTGCCATCATTTCAGGGGATTGTGGTACACACTTTAAGGGCCATGAGTCAAACGACCTGAGACGTGTTTCATAATCAGAATAATGAGGATATTTCGCAGTGAAGGTTGTCATTGGTTTAGATGGTGCCTTTATCTGTGGAAATGTTTGTCTCATGAATTGGCAATCTGGAGCATATTTATTGTGAACCAGTAGCGGATCGTCATCATCTTGCCAGTTGTAGAGGAGTATCCCACATGAATGGCACTCTACTTTGTCGGTTACGCCTGAAAACAGTCATAAATAAATACTTAGACATACATAATTAAAGTGAGTAGTCTAACTCCTTCGATAATATATATTTCAGCTCTCAACAAAATTAATTGTATTAAGTTCATATAACTTATCAAAAACACATTTCTCTTATTCTTCAACTTGAACCTTATCTGAAAAGGTGTTTACATGACATACATTGTAGCTACAGAGAAGACAAGTACACATATGTAGCACTCAGTACTAACTGTGGACAACAGTATTCAGGACATGTAGAATACGTATTCATTATTTTGTCCAATGGATGTCGGAAAATACAACTCCAAATATATGTATACCAACATATGATATGAGGTTTGACAATTTGAAATGATAATTTCTTCTAATTTATACAGTAGGAGAACAAAAAAGTTTGTTTTAATAAATAGAGGATATTTCATATGACAAGCAACCACTCTGCTCTTCCAAGTCACTTGATGAGAGATACACCGTATTTTACTAGACACATAAAATACCCCATTTATCATATACTTCATTTGTTGTTGTATTCTGTTGTAAACAAACTACCTAAATGAATTACAACGCAAACTCTAAATTCTCCGTACTATAAATATTGACCTTTTCACACATGGCTTCCTGCACGAAAACAAGCTATACATTGTAGGACTTATGTAAAAATATAATTAACAATAATAATAAACTCAATTAAATACTTGAATTATGTTTCATTAATTTACGTACATGTAGTGCTGACATTTTATTTCACACGTTCTGAATTAATAAATACTCATTTTCTGTTTGAGGTATTTAATCTAACTTACAGGCGCATTGAAATATCGCTTTTGGATTAGCGATGCATTTGAAGCATAGATGTTAACAATAGGAAGAGTTTCAAGCAAATAAGAAGAACTGTTATCTGGTAAATATTTTACTGGATGTAACATATTTTCATTCTCAACACAGAAATGTAAATTCCCCCGAAGCCCGGCTATTGCCGCCTGCAACAGGCGCACGGTCGGGTAACTTTGTTGCCAGTAGATCCCACAAAGTTATTTTCATTGCAATGAACATATCACTTTTCTATAACTGTTGTGCAAATGTCACGTTCTCTTTCATTCTCAAGTATATAATGAATAAAAAGATTTTTTTTATGATGATAACATTACATCCTTAGTTCGTCAGTTTCTCCGGCGTAAACTGTATTGATGGTATGTTTTTATATACCAGTATTCAATGTGAGAATCCCTTTTCCTCAGGACAAAACAATGCTCATTGGATATATCCTTATGTCCAACAGAATATGTTATAGCTGTAAGTTAACAGTTCAAATGCTCGACGGCGGATAAAAACCTAAATTACATAAGTATTGACACACACACAAAACCCCAACAACAACAAAAACAACAACAAAACAAAAAAGTAAAAAAATAAAGCAAATTAAAAAAACACAATAAATTAATTCTTATAATGTTGCATTTCCGAGTTTAATTGCCCCTTTTGTCACGCATTCCCTCGTCCTGAAGGAAGATCTCCTTTGAATCGCCATTGGAATGATGGGCAGTGTTGTCCTTCAAATCATGGCAAACTAATTACATAGTCATAGGCCCACATAGGCATGTCATAGGCCCACAGTTCAACGTATCTACAAGGCATGCGTGTTTCTTTTAACTAACAACGCATGATGTATGTACAATGCAATATTTTGTAATAATGTAATATTTGAGGTTGACATGAGTATGCAAATCAAACTGATATTTGGATAAGATGTAAACTTCTTTGGAATATACTTGTTTCTTCATTGAAGATAGAGTTTACACACAAGCATAAAATGATACTCATTTTCTACAGCATTAATGTTACAAGATGTACAGATATTGTTAGACTTTAGAAATATACCTTTAAAGATCTTTAAATTATGATAACCTGCTCTGAATTGCGCTAGCGAGACTCGACGTTTTTTTTATTGTAACAGATATTAGATATTCTTCGAGTATAAATTGTTGTTTGAAGAGAGAATAGTTATATGTACATTTGCAAAATTGTAAAACATATCTGGAACAACCTTACAAAATGGATCAAAGACAAAACTGGAATAGAACTAGAATTTTCAAAATTGACAATTTTATCAGGATATCAACAAAAACGAAATGATGTATTAAATCATATTCTAACTGTAACAAAGCAAAACATATTCAAATCAAACATTTCCAACTCCGTACCAAATTTCCCACACATCAAACAAGAAATAACTGATTCATATTACATCGACAGAAATATATCATATTCACAATGTAAATACACACAGTTCATGACATTTTGGTCTCTCTGTCACCACCTATTCGTTTAAAACCACGAACTTGCACAATCCAACAATATGACACTGTTATCATCTATAGATATACTTTGTAACTTGTATGTATTTAAGATTGCATGTGAACTATATTCTGTAAACATAATGTTTGTATACTCCAAAAAGAAATAAAATAATAATAAAACAAAAATATTTTAATAAACTTTGTAGGATTGACATCAACACTCACTTAGCTTAACAGATGTAGATTCAAGATATTTATTCCAACTCAAAGTCCTAGTAAACAATATTCCAAGGTAAGCATAAGATGAAACTACCTCTATAAATGCATCTTTGTATATTCCCCACCGCTTTTAAAAACAGGAACTTTAGTTTTATTTAGACTGACGGACAGTGACTCAAAGTGTCTCAATAATTTTCCAAAATATTGATTTGAAGTTGAAGACCAATTACCGAATCAGAGAAAAGGACATCATCGTCAGCAAAAAGTAAAAGGAATATTTCTATTAGATCTGGATATAACTGTATGCCGTTTTTGGATTTTGAGAATTTCAAGAACAAGTTTGTGAAAAAAAAGAGAACAAGAATGGAATTAGTACACAACCCTGACGCACTCCCTAAGGGCAATCAAACATACTTGTAAGCTTATTACCATTGATTCGTGCACAAGCTTTAACTGATTCGTAAATGGCTTTGAATGATTTTCCATCTTTGATGCCCCTCCATGTCTACCAAATAAGTGCCAGAGTTTTCAAATGCCTTAGCGAAATCGTCAAAACATGCATATAATTAACCTCCTCTTTTTGAAAGATAATTTTTAAAAATGAAAACATTGTCCATTGTGGAATACCCAGCTCTAAATCCTAACTGTTCTTCAAAATGTTTCCCATTGCATCTGACCAAAGCGTTAATTTTCCACTAAGAATCATGGAATCCAAAACAACTCAGTACAGATATCCCCGATAGTTATCAACATTTTTCTTACCACCCTTTTTATGCAATGGAATAATGGTTGCTTTTGACCATTCCGAAGGGAAAACACCTTTCTAATATAGAGAATTGAACAATACAAGTAAATATGGAACAAGAATATTATCTGAACATTGAAACATTTCACTAATTACATAATCTGTTCCAGCTGCTTTATTACACTTCAACATACGAATATTCTCTTGTATTGACTCACTGCTGATAGGGGCATTAATTTATGTCATCAGTGACAGACTTAACCAAATTGTTATCAGTATATTCATCCGTTAGTACACTTTCAGTATTCAAGGTGTGTGTATCCTCTTCATAAAAAGTAGCTATGTCTGGCTCTGCAATACTGAACTGGTCTTTAAAATACTCGTACCAAGTCTCTGAATTAATTTTATTTATATCCTTGTAGGTATGTAGTACCTGATATAGCTTGAACTTTGTGCCTAAATGTTTTGGAATCCTTCATTGCATCTATCAATTCAAATTGACGTCTAATCTCGAAAAATCTTTTAGCATTTCTACATAAAACTTTATACTTATTTCTTGCAGCAAGATAGTTCTAGAGAGATACTTTGTATTTATATTTACGAAAAACATTGCGATAATGACATCTCTGTTTTTTAAAACATTCACATTTAGCATCATACCAATCTTCAAAACCTGAAAATGGTCTTACACAACGCTTCATAAAATCAGCTGATAGCAATAAGATATCTGTGATTAGCTTAATCCCGTATTCAATGTCTGTTATATGTACCGCATCCTCCAATTCTTCATTGAGCGATGCTAAACATTTAATGAATATATACCTTTTATCCTCATTCCATGAATACTTAGTACCACTGATCATTTGGTCATCTGAACCTACCTCTGTTGTAGTCTCTGATAAATCAATATTCGTAGACCGATTAAATATCATAGGGAGATGTTCTGATTCACTTCTAGAAATAATTTTAGAAAACAGAACTTTCTCAAATAACCAGAATGATCGAATGACATAATCAATTACACTGCATCTATTATGTCCAACAAATGTATAATCACCTTTTTCTTTGTCAGTATCACATCGACCATTTAGAATGTGCAAATTCAATAATCGACACATACCAATTACAGATTTTCCAAATGTGTTAGTTTGCTGGTCAGAGGAGAACCCAGCTGTCAAACTCATCTGATACTAGTTCTGTTAATAAATCATCATCATCAGTTAAAAGTCTGAAATTATCATCAAGTCGTCCAGTTCTAGCATTTAAATCGCCACAAAGTATAGTTTCAACAGGTAGCAAGTTAGCTGTAAAATCAATAAAAGAATTTAAGAGGAGGTCAATTCCATTTTTCTCATGTTTATCGTCATACCATCTTGGTCCCCTGGTTGAACATATGTAAAGATACACAATACATGTTTTTCACATGAGAACAAATTATTGTCAAACAGCGTGAAAATAGCATTTTCGAAGTACCAGACACATTTCATATATTTCGAAATGTTCTCTCTTATAAACAGTGTTATACCTCCCGATGCGCGTCCAAACTGTGATATCTTAATACCGGGTAGATAACAGCATTTATATCCTGGAAGGGAAGAATCAGTATCATCTTTTTCATGTGACCATGTTTCTGATAATGCATGGGTCAATATTACTACTTCAATTATAGACGTAGCTGAAATATGGTGCGCATATTTCTATAATTGTGTCATTTGCTAATCACATGCAAAATAACAGAATCATAGAGTCGGCCTGTTTCAAAGACGAACTTGAAATGTAAAGGTGTTCCAACTAACGTTTGTGATATTTTAATCATCATTTATATATTCTCGTGTTAATATTGGATATCATACCTGTGAAGACGAAACCTGCAACAGCGAGCTGAAGAGCATTATTTCTTCCAGGCCATTCTGAATATGTTTTAAAGCGACATCTTAGCTTGTCAGCATCTGATCCAACCATTTCCGCCATGATTAGGAACGTGAGCTTTCGTGCGTTATGAGCGAAAACCGCTTACTTTTATATCACATGAATGCGCAGAAACTGTTTGCGCAGCGTATTTTTTTACCCTTATTTTTAGATCCATGGAAAAACCGGAAGGAAGCTATTTATAGGTAGGTTTCCCCCGGAAGGATTTTACACTATTTATACTAAAGTCTCAGTCATTTGACATGTTAAGTAGCCCAGACAACAAGACATGACACTCAAACCACAGTTTCTCAGTGACATTGTTAGTGCCGGGTGCAAATCCTGGAACTGTGAATGGTGAATGTATGTTACATTGGGTCAGCTACACTCTACACAGATAATAGAACACAGTAAGTAGTGAATATTTGAAGAGTTTAAACTTGAATAAAATCTTGGTGTATTCGTTTCGGCACACATTGATGCCGCATAAAGTTTATCATCATTGGTGAAAGTAAACAAAATTGGTTACAGAATTGGAATAGATATTTTTTTCCAAGCCAGCTGCCATCCAAAGTCTTTCTTTCCTACACATTTGTAGTTCTGCAAGTTAACATGACCATTACACTATAATTGTTTGAAGAAAGAACTTGGTGTAAGGGACATATCAAACAATGCCACATGCAAGGCCAGTATGTTAACTGAGGAAGATATCTGCTAAAACCACGCATCGGTACTTTCAACTTTTGGCTTGGTTTTTTAAACCGAAGACACTAATACCAAGTGGCCTCTAAAAACACAAAGGTTCAATTCTGTCAATTTACACACCATACGCAATAGAATTGAGGAAAAACTTCATTTCCAGATCCATGGGACAGTGTCCACTATACCTGGAGACCTAGATATAGTTACATCTCTGTCGTCAAAAATTCAGGACAATTTATTAAAAGTAAAAGCAAAGTCATCTGAAGAACGTCCTCAAAGATGACTTCTATGTGAAATTTGAGGACATTTAGGCAAGAGGTAGGCATCCCTATGGGCACCAATTGTGATCTTACCACTAAAGTGCGAACTATATTAAGTCTTTATCTAAAGTAGGAAAATGTTTTAAAGTTTTTATGGTTTTACTTAAGCACATTTTGGTATCTTAGTATATTACAAACAACTATTACACATTTTGCAAATGGGCTGAAATGTAAAGACAATATTTAATATTAAAAATTCAATTTGATATTCAGATATATGTTATTTGGAAACTGGCAGACATGTTTAAGTTATAAACATATTTATAAACTTGTATTTAATTTACCAAAATGGATATTAAACTGAATTGAAGTCTAGACTGTCAGGTATGAAATAAAAACCAAAGAAGCTGTTTATACAATGAAAATAAACACATACTGAATTTGACTCTCTCTCTCTCTCTCTCTCTCTCTCTCTCTCTCTCTCTCTCTCTCACGCGCATCGTCATAAAGGTATCAACAACAATTACAACAAGTTACCTGTACTATTAAGATCCGGAATAGAATAGGTCCGGGATAGAGTATTTTCCTTGCAGTGAGCACATGCAAGGGAACCCGTTAAGATCCTGGGTAAAATAGGGCTTTAGCAACCAATGCTTGCCGTAAAAGGCGACCAAGCTTGTCATAAGAGGCGACTAACGGGATCGGGTGGTCAGGCTCGCTGACTTGGTTGATGCATGTCATCGAATCCCATTTACGTGGATCGATGCTCATGACGCCAATCACTGGATTGTCTGGTCCAGACTCGATTATTTACAGACCGCCGTCATATAGATGGAATATGCTGCGTGCGGCGTTTAAAAGCAAACAAAAAAAACAAACAAAACTGGTACTATTTCGCTTTCACACATTGATCACATTGCGTGTGTGCTATCACTCCTAATCGCTTTGTGCTGAATATTATGTCTCTCAGCTTATCGGAGTGGTTAAGGTAATTGACGTCCTCTACTGTCACATGTTGAGGTTAGAGATCGACTATTTGATATTCTTGGTGAGTGCCTGGGATTTTATCGACTGTTGAAAGGAAAAAGAGATGGTGATGTTTTCTGTTTAAAAAAACATGCTCATAGTTTTAAATCAAAACTATCTGGTTTAGTAGCTGTAGCAGAAATAAATATCTAATCTCGATACAAAACCCCGGGCCCCCAGTATATCAAATGATAAGGGTTTTTTTTATGGAGGAAGGGACATCGCACCCATTCGTATGCACATATTGACTATTTGGAAGTAAGATAAGGGCCCAACCAGTTAATATTCTGGTTGGTCGGCCTGTGAGCTTTATTTGAGACGTATTATGTTTTCAGTCAGCGCTTCAAGATTTACAATTCTCTTTTATGAAAGGAGGAGCCACACATTTATTTGGACTTACAGCGCGTTACATTTCAGAACACACATAAGGTCCAGTGAACGATGAATATAATTTGGTATAAACTGAGGACAAATTTTCCCAGCATTTTGGGGGCAGCATTTTTAATTATCCCCGAACCCGCATCTCATCAACAACCACCACACACCCACACCCACACCCACACCCACACTCACACACGCCCTGTGCGAAACCAATGATCAGCCTCCAAGGTTACGCTGTTTCAATGTGACGGTAGCGTTCCTCTCCTCGAATGTAGCCAGGCTGAGTTGAGCTTGTCGATATGGTGATATCTAGTGCATGAGCAGGAATGTAACCGCGTAGAACAGGATGAAACACTATGCGAGACTCGTAAAGCAATTGAAAACCAACTCCTGTGACGCCTGCCCTGTTGAAGGTATGTGGGTGTTTGTACATTGACTACAGGGCTGCTTTATCCCAAAGATGAGCTGGGTCAATTAATGTTCAATTCTAAGGAGCACATCAATAAGACAGAAATTTGAAATTAATTGTTTCTTTGAAGCGAGTGGCTGAATGTAATTCTCATCTACACTCAGACATTAATGTTATAGACCGTGGTTAACAGCCTGATCAATAGCCCGATCAGTAGCCCATGCACTCCGCACCGTGCCTACCTTGGGACTGATTTCGCAAGAGAGAGACCCACACTCTTGGATGAGTTTTCTCCCTTTAGTCAACATAAGCTGTGGTGTTCGGTTGACGAGAACATCATGTTGAAAGAGCGATATCGCCCCGCCTGCGTATGGTGTAGATATGTGACTGGTTGGTGGTAAAGTTCTTGGGTGACTTGGACCACGGAAGTGTCTATCACACGATATGATTTAAAACAAGTTTTAATGATTTATACAAATGACACGGATAGGCGTAGGAGTGGGAGTGGGAACGGCCTGAAGAATGAGAGATGTAGTAAGTGACCAACGAGATACGAGTGATTACAGAAAATGCGTCACGAGTGAAATTAATGTTAATAAATGACATATTAAAAATATTTAAAATATTTTTATCCTGGCACCACCGTACTGTATTTTTTATTCAATTAAACATATACATTCTTAATCTAAGATTTCTTCTGAAAAACTCCTTTAAAAAAAATTATGAACCTCTATTTGAGATAAATGGAAACCGGCCCAAATTATTTGAAAAGTATATACAGCTAGATGCTATGTTCAACCATGGCATAGAGTAAAAATATTGAAACTCGTTGTGGGGTTGGGAGAGCAAGGCCACCCTACTTCAAAAGATCGGTTCCTATGTCTGTCACATGTTTAGCTAATAGTCTGAAGCACATGTAACACATGTGGCCATTCTTTGGGCAAGTGACTGTTCGAAATGTGCCTCTGTTCACCCAGCAGGTAGGATGAGATGGCAATATGGTCGTTAACCTAGCGCCTAACAGGCAGCTTGGGTATACTCCCCAGGGAGGTGAGAATGATTCTTGAGTGCACATTGATCTAGTGATCAGGGTAAACGATAGCGCTTTGAGCATGCCCCTGAGTGGTGTGAGAGTATGTGCAATTTGAAAAGCCTATTATTATTATTATTATTATTATTATTATTAATTTTTTTTTTTAATTTTTAAAAGCAGCAAAGAGGGTTTGGGTGATCCTTGTTAGGCTCATCATCAGCTCAAGGCCCTTGCCCCCTCTACACGCAGCCTAGACAGCGAATTCTTCTTCTTATTATTATTATCATTATTATTATTGTAATCTGCTGTAATGCTGTAATTAAATGAACAAACAGGAAGTGAACACTGTCTCATTCCTGAAAAGTTAGTTATCATTCAATAAAAAAGCAGACAACAACAAAAAGATATTCGGAAAATGTTTTTTCTGCAGTTCCTAAATATAGGATACAGCTATTGTGGCCTGGGCATTCAATTAAATATGTTTCACAGTCTCGGGGGTATTTTCCTTTCAGTTGGCAAATGCATGGAACCCGTGAAGATCCTCGGCAAAGTAGGTCTTCAGCAGCCCATGCTTTTCGTAAGAGGCGACTAACAAGATCGGGTGGTCAGGCTCGCTGACTTGGTTGATGATCAGTCACAATTGCGTGGATTGATGCTTATCATGTCAATCACTGGATTGTCTGGTCCAGTCTCGACTTTCTATAGACCGCCGTCATACTGCTGGACAATTCCTGAGTGTGGCGTTAAATAACAAACAAACAAACATGAAAGGAGACCTCTTTATCTATATATATAATAAACAGTGTCCAACACAGTGTATGTCTATCACTTGTCTTTCTTGCATATATTGGTTTCCTATGAATTATTTATAGTGATTTTCAGATTTTGTTGGAGAAACAAATACTCGCACATTCATTATAACCTTACATCAATGATCCAATAGCAGCAAAGATTCTGGTTCAAAAGCAAATGCTCATTAGTTTCTTCGTAGAATTAAAGTTCACACAAGATATTACTAAAGCATTTCTCCATGACATAAGCTTATGACATAAAAACATGTATGTCATACCCCAATGACATAAGTATGCAAATTAGATAACCGGAAGTGGGACTTTTTTCGCCGGTGCACGTGAGTAGGTGTTTACAAACAACATGGATACCTTTGATGTTGGAGACTGTTTTAATAGATCAAAGGGGAAGTGCTACAGTGATATCCGTGTTGACAAATGGATATTACAAGTTACAGGTTGACGGTACCGAATTTGAATTTGACTGTGATGAAGGCAGATTATCAAAACTTCCCTGTGGCCAAAGTTTCATCATCGAAACGTCATCGTCGAGCACGGCGAAGCAGACGACGAACACAAAGCCGAAAGATGCCCAAGGAAGATTTGTGGCAGTTGAGGACGGCATGATCGATGGTGTGATCCTAGACACTCAAAACAAAAACACAGCCAAGAAAACTTTGTACGATTTGAAACTGTTCGATAACCTTCTAAAAGTCCAAAATGAATTTCGCCAAATGCACGAAGTCGTCCCAAACGAACTAGACACACTTCTCTGCAAGTTTTTCATTAGTGTTCGAAAAACAAATGGGGAAAATTATGAACCAAACAGTCTCACGGGTTTTCAGAGCAGCATCGAGAGATCACTAAAACGAAGGGGGTATGGCTATTCACTCACGTCATCTTTAGAATTTTCACGATCACGGGAAGTATTAAAGGGGAGAAAAATTAAACTAAAGAAAGAAGGGCGTGGCAACTTACCAAGGAGAGCCGACCCGATTGGTGATGAAGAGATCGAGTCCCTGTGGCAGTCCGGATCCATTGGAATCAGTAACCCAATGAGCATAATAAACTGTCTATGGCTCTACATCACAATCCATTTCGGGTTAAGAGGTTTCAATGATCACTACAACATGTGTTGGGGGGACATCACATTGCATGTTGATGGAGACGATCACGAATATCTTGAACTGTCCATGAGACAAGAAAAGAATAGGTCCGGTGAGAATCCTCGTGATTGTCGCGACGTTAGGCCCAAAATGTGGGCTAATGTTGCTGATCCCTCTCGGTGCCCTGTGCAGGTGTATAAGTTGTATGCCTCCACGCGTCCACTCGACTTCTGTCGAGATGACGATCCCTTTTACATCGGCACACCCACTGTAGGTATGCCTGCGATCAGTGGTTTATCCGCTATCGTATTGGGTAAAACAAACTTTCCTCTCATGAAAAACGTGCGATGCCGCCAGTCTCCAAACATCGAAACGACGCACAAATCACTCTGCGCGCAAACACCTTGTGCAAAAGTTGAATGACAATAATGTTCCGCCAAATCAAATAATGCAGACAACTGGCCACAAAAACATCCATTCTGTGAACAATTACTGCCATATTAATCCCGACCAGCACAAGAAAATATCCAACATCATTTCACGAAACACTCCATCCCTCACTGTGACATCCCAGCTTGTTGATGAAACTCCCGTCATGCAGAGCGGCCCCTCGCGAAATGTCCAAATCGACAGTAGACAACACAGTCAGCGGTCTCAAATAATAAATGTTTCTGGTGGTGTCAACACTATGTTTGCTGGCAACATTACTGGTGGAAACATAACGATTAATCTCATTAAACCTCCAAGCCCGGTCCCAGTCAAAAGACACCGGATTGTCATCGAAAGTGATAGTGACACCGACTAGTGCATATGCTCTGACCTCTCAGCCGCGAGACCATCTTCAAGTGAGAGAGCAGTTTGATTTGAAACTATATATTATAAGTGAAGTTACACCCGAGATATAATCATATTACACAGAATCGTTGTTGTTACCGTTATTAAAGTTTCAATTATTGTGAAATAGTCTGTTCAAGTATTTTGTTTAAAATAATCCGAGGAAATCTTTTTCTCAGCGAAGGAATATGCCATAAAGGAGTTAAGAGGTTGTTTATTTTGGTTTACACGGCTATGGAAAACATGTATCACTACGCACGATCTATACGTAAGATTTCGACAAGTTGCTGATGTTAATGTTTAATGCAATTATTCCTTAATTGGGAAGCAAAAATGTGAAAATGATAAATAGAATTCATCACTCGTGTTTTTTAATATGGGAAATATCAACCTCGTCCCGTTAATCGGTATTAGCCTCGCCAAAGGCTCGGCAAATACCGATTAACTAAGACTCGGTTGATATTTCCCATATTAAAAAACACGAGTGATGAATCCTCTATTTATGATTTCAAATAGGTTAAGTCATATCACGGTATTATACACACATAATCAATACATCCCTGTTGCTTTGTAACACTCGGTTTATTTTGTGTTTGTTGGTACATTGATTTGACCTTACAACATGGCGACCACATGCTTCTTGAATGAGGTCGTATTCTGACAGCAGTGCTGATGACGTATTACGGGATCACACATTGACTTATGACCTACGACCTACGACATGACATGGATACTATCGTAAACACAAAAGTGGGATGAGGTGAGGTGAAGTGGATCTCACGTCACGTCAAGATTGTTTCACTTACATCGGAATGTGCATGCACACGTGTGTGTGGTTTCTTGTACTATTATGAGAACTTGCACAAGGCACTCGTGAGTGCTCGTTTCATATGCCTATATTTGGATACCACGAAGCCTCTCTGAGCTCAACAACAAGAATTTAAAAACAAAATGGGATTGTATTCCCATGTACAAAGGGCTTTTGTCTTATACCAAACAAACGATATGGTTCATGATTTCACTAATAGTGATATTACTGTCACAAACTCCGACCCACATAGCCAAAAAGGACCATCCACTTGTATTTACAAAACATAAAAGGTTATTAGTTTCTTGCCAAGGATTTGAAAGTTGCTTCATTTAAACATCAAAGTTGAAATTTTTTTTGGCTGATATCTCAAAATGATATCATTGTGGCCTGGCTCTATATAGTTGCGGTATCCATTTATTACCTACATTCAGCACAGGAAATCGTTATTGGTCAGTTTGTGTAATAAACGATCCCGAACAGTCTAAGTAAAGAATCGTATATAATTTGTATACCGGGTCGTTTATAAATTTAATTGACTAATAGTTCTTGTGCACTCAGCATACCTTATCTCCTTGTGCCTTCATGAGTGTCAGTGAAAAACTGACGTACAGAGATTAATAAGAAAATATGTATTCCTCATCCCTGAACCCTGGTAAAACTGTATCCGCCCCTGAAGCGAAGCTCGATGTGTTAATGTGTGAACACATCTTTGTGAAGACGCAATGGTGCCAAAAGCGCGAAACAAATTTTGTTTGAAATTTTATAAAAATCTGCAACCCCTTTCCCAGAGAATGGTATCAATCCCTGCAGAGAATGGTACCAACAATAATTTCCCCCTCTTCTGGCAGTAATATTCATACTAATATATATTCTACAAAGTTTCAAAGTCGGTTAATTGACTTTGTAAATCTGGAAGTGGCCTCGCACACTAATTATCATCAAGCTCTATACGATCAATACACAATTACCATTACCTACCTCGTCCTTTGATTGTCATATAAGTTGTAAAATGTATATCCTATTCACATTTAAGATTATATAATATAGCCACAGAGACTCTGTGTGGCCGTTTTTGTTACTCTCTTATCAGCTCAAATATGACACATTCCCACACTGTTTCGTAACTCGCTAGAATATTGCATAATGTGTCACTGGGACAACTTACAGGTTGAGGGTTACCATCACATGTGTGACAGTTAGTCGTACTATCTTATCTTCTTAAATATGGTACGTTATCAAACTATTTAATGACTCAACAGAACTCCATATTTGTCACTTGACCAACATATATACAACTGGCAACCATTTGGCAACCATTTCCTTCACATTAACCAGAACAATGCTTCTGTCAACACCAACATTGCTGCTGGTCGTTGCTCTCATGCAACCCGCTCTGTCCAGCAACCTCAACTCCCTCCATGGCATCGCCTACATCTCCGTGACGACGGACAACCTGACAGCGTCCACGCAGTTCTACACGCAGGTTCTTGGTGGGATGCTGGTGCCCGAGTTGGCCTTCACCTTCAGTGGAGATTCTCACTACTACCGGATGTTCCAGAAGGAGATCCTGGACGCCAGAACACAAGGGGTTAACCCTGCCCAGTTGGGAGTACCAGATATAGGGGATAACGGTACTCATGAGGTCAGTATGTAAGGATAAATATACACATTAATTATGCTGGTATATAGGAGGCAATGGTATTTATGGCGTCGGTATGTCGTGGATAACGTTACTCATGGGTTCAGTATAAGAAAATAGGGAAGTAGGCTGACAGTACTGGCACGCATAACTGAAGGCATCCCAACACCGCTTTGGCTGTCGGGGGCACGGGTGGCCAAGTCGTCAAAGGCGCCGCAATTTGCTGTGCAGAGTTTCGTCCATTGGACATGCCAGAAACCTATGAGTGTGGGTTCGAATCCCGGTTCGCCCCGATTATGTTTCTAGGTTTGTCAGCACCATACCCGTGCTCGTGGGTTTCCCCAAAGTGGTAAACGTCGAAGACCTGCATCACTTTGGGCTTTCCTCCCACATTAAGCTGACACGCAGTGATATAACTGAACTACTGTTAAAAACGGCGTATATATATATACTCATACATATCTATATATATACACGTAATTAATTTTGAAATAGCTGACAGCCAAAGTGAGTGAGTGAGTGAGCTGGGTTCAACAGTTTTAATATTACCCTGATTTGACAGAAAAGATGTCTCAGCATCATGAAGTGCACTAAGTAGAAGGCCTAATAGTGAACACCTTTTTGCATATTCTGCGTGCACCTGACACGTATTAGCAAAATCTGTAACGGATGACGTGACTTTCTGTAATCAGACGGTCAGCGTAAAGTGAAGAACGATATTCAACTTGCAATATTCCTGAACCCAGTTGGTTCATAGATCTCACTTTGAGTAGTGGGAGGTTTCAACACGTGACATAGCACCAATGTACAGACAGGTAACTGCATCTGTTTTCGAGAAGTTATCTGAATTTTTTGGTAGGTGAGGGAAACTGTGAAAATTGGGAAAACTGAGAAACGAACCATGAATAAGTTCCCGGATACGAGAGAAACACAGAGATAACAAATAAATAAAGTGACAAAACCCTCTGCATATCCAAAGAAATCTATGCGATTTTACTATTCCAGACATTATTTTGTCACTGATGCGTCAAATGTGGAAATATCCTCCACATATCGACCATAAAAACTTTGGAAAGCCATACTGAGGCCTTGAAAGTTGTAACCTTGATCAAACAAATTCTGAGCAAGAGTCGTATGACGCTCCTTGAAATTTTGGTAGAAGGAGCATGCTCGATTGTTTCTCAAAAGTTGTGAAATGTAAACACCAAAGGCTGGAGCTGCTGGAGTATTGCTCGACATTAAGGGAAAGTTGTATATTGGAAAGTTGAACTCATCCATCTTGTCATACAGTCTTGCGGAGAGTGTTTTGTCACTCTGTATCTTTATGCAAAAATCTAAATATGAAACAGATGAGGCGTCTCAATGGTGTTCTTTTTATCTCGTTCAGGTGGGTAAATCAGTGGAAGGGAATTGGCTTTTTCATTGTGATTGAATGATATCAGATCATCGATATACCTGAAGCTTAAGTTAAATGTCTCAGCCAAATTTACTTGTTTTGACTTTGCCAACCCGAGCAGAAACTCCGACTGATATGCATAAAGAAACAGATCCGCTGGAAGGAGAGCACAACTGGTGCCCATTTGGATGCCTACTTCTTGCCTCGATGTCTTACCCCCATATTTTACGTAGATGGTATCAAGTAGGACGTCCAGCCGTCAGGAAATGGACAGCTGAATTTAAGCAAGGCAGAAGATCACCATAGGTCTGATCATCCTAAAGATGTCTTGTCTGAAACACAAATGCAGCCTGTTCAGAACATGGTCCAGGCTCAACAATGTGTTAAATTTAGCATATCACTGACATTTTGGGATCAGTTGATCAGGGATCGATGCATGCGCAATGTCTACCATGAGAACATTTTAAGTATTTAAGTTTATATACAGTGTTTGTGTTTTTTGGTAGGCCCGCCAACCACACATTATGATATGAAGTGATTATATCTGTGACACACGATGAACGGTAATATTCGTTTGTGTCTGCAGGTGCACGGTAACTTCATCGTCTTTGACAACGATATCATCCAACTTGTAGAGTTTGTGGAGAAATCATCCTCAAAAGTCTTTGACATCCGTGACCGTCGCACCAGCCAGTGCTACATTGCAGCCCCACTTGTGTGTTTCTGGGTCAAGGACGACGTCGATTTCAACCACTACATTGCTGAACTAGAAAGAAGATCACGCGATTTTGGTTTCGATCAGGTCAAGGTCAACAGACCAGTAACAGTTCACAACGAGGCTGAGCGACTAGCCGTTCCCGAAAACCAGCTTGGTATTACGTATGACAGTGGAAACTTCAATGGTTTATCAATGGCTTACTTTAAAGGCCCGAGGGGTGAGCAACTGGAACTGAACCAACTCAAAAGAACCTTCAAGTACAATCTTGGCATTGATTACTGTCGACAACAGGGGGTGACCACAGCCTTCTTGGACAATCATCCTGACAACAGATGGAAGAAAGCAGCCGGGGTCAGTGGGCAACTCTACGGTATGTTCGAGTTTGCAACAAGAACAGATAATCTTTCGAAGTCTGTCAACTTCTACACGCGGGTCCTCAGTTCCGAAGTGCTTCCTAAACCACTAGTGGAAGTGGACCTTCGAGGAGATGACGTTGAAAACTTGTTCTACCAGAAAGAGCTTCTTGATGCGGCATCATGGGGAGTGGATCCGAGGAGTATAGGGGTTCCAAATTTGACTCTGGCAGGATCTGACAGAAGGGATGTTAAGTTTAACATGTTTGATAACCACGTAATAAAGATTGCGCAGTATACTGCAGGAAAATCTTTGTCAGATCCCAAGTTCAACCCCAGATACAACTGGAGCAGTCCTGCCTACATCAACAACATGCAAGTCGCCTTCTTAGTGGACGACAACATTGACCTTAACAGCTTTATACATGACACAGAACTGAAAGCTGCCAGGAATAAGTTCCCTGAGTTTAAGGTCAATAGAGCAGTTGATGTGCCGACATTAGGTGCTAGCGTACCCTTACCACAGTACAGTGCAGAGTTCACCGATGGACCTCTGAAGGGCTTCAACTACGTGTTTGCTAAGGGTCCAGCAGGGGAGCAGCTATCTTTTGTTCAGTTCAAGGGTCCAGCAGCAGCCAAACTGAAGTCAGCCTTGCTGCGGTATTCGGCCGTCAGCACAGCTTTCAAGGAGACGAATCCGTGGGTCAGAAATGAATATGACAAGTTTTGCTCTAAATATTCCAGCAATCCTGTTATTGGCTAAAATCATACCCAGAATAAAGCTTATTCATAAATAATCAGATGATTTGAAATATTTTCGATTTAAGCTGAGATATGTCGTCGAAGAGATGAATTTGTTGCTTTTGCTACCCACATGAAGTGGTGATGTCAGACGTCTTTCCTGGAGATACATTCGTGAGTCAGAAATCAGTATGATCTGTTTTGTCCTAATTTTTCCAGTCATAGCGTTGGCTAATTTGCAGATATAGTTCATTTATGAACACCAGATGAGCCTTCCAATCTTGGGGTTAAGTCCCATTATCCTTGCCTTTACTGACAATAAGAATTGAATAACCTGTTCTGCTTCTGTCTGCCTAAGATTCAATTATTTACAGTCCGCTGTGATAGGGCATACACCTACCTAATCGTGTCACCGTTCTCAAGCCATACATGCTGTAAAAGTGACACAAATGAACAGAGCCTGATACAGCTTAATATTCTTTCGTTTGTTCGTTCGTTCGTTCATTCTTTTAATTAGTTTAATAATGTTTAAACAACTGCAATTGAGCTATCCGATGATAATCATATAACAACAGCAAGTTGTTCACCAAACAGCAAATTAGCAGCTACCCAGCATATTATTTATGAAAGTATTTATCTATTTTTATCAAAGTATTATCCAAATGTGCCAAATGCTTACTCCCTCTTCTTCGGGGGTGGCTTGGCTCCTAATTATTTTTCAACATGACCCCGTCCAAGGTCCACACTCTTCTTACAACAATGCTGGAGTGCCTGGATCCGACAGGTGTAGAAGGCTTCCTCGGTGGTGAAAAAAGTCCTCCCAGCAGAAATGACGTCATCATGATTGACATATGCTTTCAAGTATACCCATCATTGTTTTTCACACCCTGTCTATGTCCATCATGGAGACATGGTTTGGTACAAATGGTATCACACCAGGAACTGTATCCATCATGGATATATGTGTTGAAATATATGTTATCACATCCCTACTATATCCATCAAGGAGACATGGTTTCGTACATATGGTATCACGGGGGCACGGGTGGCCCAGTCGTCTAAGGCGCCGCGATTCGCTGTGCAGAATTGCGTCCCTTTGGCACGCCAGAAACCTATGATTGTGGGTTCGAATCCTGGTTCGCCCCGATTATGTTTTTAGGTTTGCTCGTGCTCGTGTGTTTCACCGAAGTGGTAAACGTCAGAGACCTGCATCACTTTGGGCTTTCCTCCCACATTAAGCTGACACGCCGCGATATAACTGGAATACTGTTAAAAGCGGCGTTAAACCCAACTCACTCACTCACTCACACACATATGGTATCACACCTTTGTTTATGATTTCTAAATGGGTTGGTACATATGTTATCGCGTCTGGAACTATATCCATCATAGAGAAATGTGTTGGTACATATGTTATCACACTCTGATTATATCCATTATGAATAAATGTGTTGGCACATATGAAATCTCACCCCGACTGTATCCATCATGGACAAATGGGTGCTGCATGTTTTAGTTGTGTTTCCTTTTCCTTTAAGAGAATATCAGGGTAGAATTTTTATTTCAAGGAGACTAATGGCACTATATGTTGCAATGGCCAAAAGCTGCACCACTCACAAAGAGGTTGGACACGTTTTGGATAAATACAAGTCCTTGAATTTATCTTGGCACTGATGATGTGCTAGTCTCACAAACGTTTTTGTTCCATCACTGTATATTGCGTCGCAGATACATTTTTCGTTCTCAATATTATTTACCTTCCTTCATGTCCTTAACGTTTAGTCTGGATGTTACCTTAGAATAAGCTTGGGATAGAAGCAGAGAAAAACGGACAGCGATAGATTATGATTATTCATGGAAGTTTCATCAGAACATCAGAAATGGAATTCAAATTCCTTCCTTTTTTAAGCGTTTGAAATGGAGATCTTACTTATTCTATATTTGTCATTATTTACTGTTTGGTTTGTTACTACCTATATGTGTTTACAATGTATGTTTACATTTTAAAGAAAAATGATGCTGTTAACAATATATATTCAATTCATTTTTGACAGGTTACACTGTCAGATTCAAAACTACCAAAAGTGAATACCTGTTTAGTAAACCTGTTTGTTGGGATGCACCTTCCCGAGGACAGGGCGTTAACTGACTATTAAAGTCTAGTTTCCACCCTTGCCGAACAAGCTTGCAATTTCGGGGCTCGATCGTAGCGCCACCAGTGGCTATTACGAGTTATGTCCCTTCTATGTTCCTCCTATTGACAATCAGATTCCATCTTTCATTTTACTTGCACTTGCATCAAACGAAATGGCGGCGCCCAGCCAAGACGATCTGTTCAATAATCAAGATCTATATTGTGATAAAACGGGTCTTACCCCGCGAAGTGCATCAAATCACGTGAGCACCTCGAATAAAAACATGAAAGATTTCCAAAATATGTCGGCGGTACACACACTTTGCAAATCCTGCAGTCGACCGAAATCTGCACTCGAAAACCATTTTGTTTAGGAACCGGATGTCTTGTTCGTTAAGCGATTTTGATTGGACTATTCATAGACTCGTTAGTCCAGCCAAAACGTAACTCCATAACGGCAGCCTGGTTCGGCAAGGGTATAAACTGGACCTTTACAGTCAGTTAACTCCATTGCCCCAGGAAGATGGTTGGCATGCAAAGAGGACTGCTTTCGTGGAAACAACTGACGTCATATCTTTAAAAAATGTACCTGTCAGTCAACTAGTAGACATCAGTTGTATGTGACAAGTCTTCGAAACAACATCCATGTTCTCAAATATAAAGTGGTTATAAATAATTAAGTCTAACATAATAGATTTCTGATTGTAATACTTACCTGAAAATAACATTTTGTAATGCATATCTTTCACGAGTGTTCTATTTTGTAGTTTCAGTAATAAAGTAAAAGATGTAGACATATTTTTAAGACGCCACATCTCAAAACCAAGGACCTTTTCTAGCAGTGAAAAACGGGTCATAATCAACATTTTCCTCAAAAATGGATTTCGACTTGAGACAAAACCTTACAAAATCGTCCAAACAGTCAGTGCGATCCAGCTGCGAAGACAATCCGTGCACCCTGTGCACCAAAATATCAACTGTTTGTCTGCGTCCTGTTTTGTATATCATGTATATACACCATTCATTTCCTCGCGACGGTTCGCGACGTGCCTGGATGGGTCACGCAATGTAAACAAGCAAGCTATTGGTTAACACTTGTGTTGCATTGACTGTTGTCTTGGTAGTTTGGAATTCGGTATTAGACATGTGTTATATTCAAATTACTTGTATTAAAACATTTATCAACATGTAATGTTTTAAATAGGGTTATAAAATGGAATAATTGTATGGGCTAGCTATGTGCTAAACTGCACGGGTCACACTACCCTTGCACTAGCAGATATCAAGTGACCTATTTACAAAGTGTGTTGACGTGCTCGTTAAAACATACCTAAAAGCATTGATATTACGTCCTGATAATGCTATATGTAGAGGTGGAGTGTAATGTTAGTCAAAGCACAGGGACGCAGTGAGCTTATCTGGGCAGCTGGGGTCGCAGGTTGCCCTATATATGCATCGAGCCTTGCGACAACTCAAATAGCCAAATCAAAAAAGTACTCAGCAAACCACTAACCAAACCAAAAATTCACCATCCATCAAAAAAAATCGACAGAGTAATCACTAAACTCCAAACAGGACACGCCAACCTAAATAACCACCTAAAAAAAATAAAAAAACATACTACAGGTAACTGCCCACACTGCAAACAACCAGAAACCCCAGAACACGCACTCATCTACTGCACACACTACCTAACACATCGAACCGCATTACAAACCTCGCTCAATCTAAACAAGGCTCTCACTCTAGAAGCAATACTAAACCCACAAAATAAACTAGAAAACTTCAAGGCCTTAGGCGTATTCTTAATCAAAACGGAACTAATAAAACGCATCTAAAAACACTATAATCCACCAAATCAAAATTACATAAACACACAAACATCCACCATACCCAGCTCCCTTAGTTCTCCTCCCCTACCCCATTGGCATCTATTCCAAATCTCAAAATTCCCAAATTCTATATAAGCAACCCCTAAAGCCCCCTCTTGGGTTGCACACACCACTTTCGCCCCTTTCGGAAACACATTAAATGGCCTGGCCGGGCCCGTGTGCGAAATACGCATCAGTCGGAAAGCGCACGTTAAATCTCCAAAGTAAGTAAGTAAGTAAGACAACATGTTGTTGACGGGTCTGATGAATGAACTATGAGTCTACAGTACACAACGGTATAGGATACACAGTGTGTTGACGTGCTCGTTAAAACATACCTAAAAGTATTGATATTACGTCCTGATAATGCTATATGTAGAGGTGGAGTGAAATGGGGTTTAACGTCGCATTCAGGATTATTACGGGTATGTAGCGATGTGCATGGAATATGTGTGGCTGCTTGTACTAGTCCGGCCTAATGCCGGTTTTATAGTGCTAGCCAACTGAGATACCATGTGGCAGTTTAACATGTGCACCCTACGAAGGCACCTTAAACTGACTCGGGCACGGCCAATCATTCAAATGGAAAAGGTTCATGCAGCTTATATTAGTGGATGTAAAAGTGTCAGCAAGCACGGCGCATAGAAGCCTTCCCCCTCTTATCCCCTTGATGCCGAGTGCAACAAGTATCATCTCTCAAGGTCTTTTGGTATGACGCCACCAGGGCATCGAACACCGACATTCCGCTCAACGGGCAGACGCTGTATCCACTAGACTACGGAGACAGTCTGCTCAACGGGCAGACGCTGTATCCACTAGACTACGGAGACAGTCTGCTCAACGGGCAGACGCAGTATCCACTAGACCACGGAGACAGTCCGCTCAACGGGCAGACGCTGTATCCACTAGACCACGGAGACAGTCTGCTCAACGGGCAGACGCTGTATCCACTAGACTACGGAGACAGTCTGCTCAACGGGCAGACGCTGTATCCACTAGACTACGGAGACAGTCTGCTCAACGGGCAGACGCTGTATCCACTAGACCACGGAGACATAATCACCTGTAGCTAACGTGATGACGTAAATCATGCTGGGGCATCGTGCAGGAAGCTGAGGTACCGTAAGTCCCCATGATCCTCAGCGATGTGGCCTAGCTTTGGTTACTGGTTGTCTCTTAATAATAATTTCTACGTAGACAAGGGCTGAGTGTTGAGTGCATAAATGCTGTTTATCTTGTCAGTAGTCACTGTTGCTGTGCCACACTTAAAAACAATTTGATCCATTAAGTCACTGACTCACTGATAAATGTGTTG